AAAGTTGTATCCAAGATGGCCGACTTCTAAATGGCCACCATGGTCACCACCCATCTTGAGGAGTTTGCCCCCTCACATATACTAATGTGCCACAAACAGAACTTTAATATCACCAACCATTCCCATGTTATTACGGTGTATCCATATAAATGGCCCACCCTGTAGATCAAGACAATTTTTTCATGCCACAGATCCACACCCAAGGAGCAGATCATTGTTGATGTATTATTTATATGGTTGTATTAGGTTCAGAAGAAGAATGCCATAATGTTGAATGTGTAGCAAGGGAACATAAACTGTAGGATGCTAAAGTTAAGCAGGTTGGGTCAGGAGCTCTGCAAGATCCTTCTCACTTCTCTTTTCCTTAAATAAAATTGGTGTTGAATTGAATTTCAACTTCACACATTCTTCCATCATCTTTTTGCAGGTTTACAAGGAGAAGTTATATGGGAAAAAGTATGTTTGGTTCCTCATTGGCTGGTATGCAGACAACTGGTTTAAGATCAAAGACCCATCCATCAACTGTACTGTGGAGCAGATGACAGAGGCTGTGGAGGGTCATGTAACTACTGAAATTGTCATGCTTAACCCAGAAACAGTACGAGGAGCTTCTAACCTGGTAAGACATGCATTATCTTATGACACAACTTTATCAGTGATGCTCAAAAGAATTGTTGCAAAAAAAATCGAACCTTTTAAAAAGCTAAAAAGAAAACCCTAAATGAAAGTATTTCAAAGCACACCCCACTTTTCAGTTATTTGTTTGTAAAAAATGTTTAGAATCATGTATGATTTTCGTTCCACTTCTCATGTGTATACCACTTTGTGCTGGTCTTTCACGTGGAATTCCAATAAAATTGATTCATGTTTGTGGCTGTAATGTGACAAAATGTGGGAAAGTTCAAGGGGGCCGAATACTTTTGCAAGCCACTGTAAAAATGATAAACATCAAATAAACTATGAAAATCAATATAGCAAAAGCCGTAATGGTTCACTTGGGGAAATAAGTCTTTTCTGCAGTTTTTCTTGGCCTTCACTGCAAGACAAGACAGGTAAAAAAAAGAAAAAAGAAAGCATGCAGTAAAGCAAAGGCAAGGCAGAAGGATGTTAGATGCATAAAAGTGTAGAGGATGGACGTTTCGCAATCAGTCATTTGTGTGATCCCTGAATCCATGGCTATATCATCACAAGCAATAATGACAAGAAGACTGAAATAATTTCAACAGTTAGTGTTTGTTGAATTCCCTGAGCACTTTAAAACACACAAGTAGGCCACACCTTGTGACTACTTAGAAATAATGTCACTTATGGAAAACAAACATTTTTCTATGCCTAAACTTGTTTTTGTATTAAACTTTAAGTGATTAAACAGTCACAGATTATTCTGAATCTTTTTACATGTACCATTAAAACTGTAAAGTAGACACTAACTGTCACTGTGGGCTCCCTGTTGTAAAGTCAGAGTGTTGTTTGAAACAAAAATTGTACAGCATCAAACGATTGTCTGCCAAGCCTTTTTCAAGCAGATTTAATGAAGACTCGTGGAGGTTCACTACTGAAATGACAATAACTTGCAGTGTGAACAACTTTTGTTACATATAAGTGGAAGAGCAGAACTGCAATTTTAGTACATATGCTCAGTGAAAACATCTGAGCATGTGATCATATTGTTAAGTATTTTATACTCCCTTTCTGTTACGAGAAACATAACATTGTTTTGTTGGAATTTAACCCTATAATCCCCAATACCTTCACACAGTGCACATATTTTTAGAAACGTCATTAATTAATTAATAAGTTATTATTACTGATTAGGTGGCACGGTGGCACGGTGGTTAGCACTGTTGCCGCACAGCAAGAAGGTCCTGAGTTCAATTCCACCATCAGGCCGGGGTCTTTCTGTGTGGAGTTTGCATGTTCTCCCCGTGTCTGCGTGGGTTCCCTCCGGGTACTCCGGCTTCCTCCCACCGTCCAAAGACATGCAGCTTGTGGGGATAGGTTAATTGGATAACCCAAATTGTCACTAGGTGTGAATGTGCGAGTGAATGTGAGTGTGAATGGTTGTCTGTCCCTGTGTGTTGGCCCTGTGACAGACTGGCGACCTGTCCAGGGTGTACCCCGCCTCTCGCCCTATGACGCTGGGATAGGCTCCAGCGCCCCCCGCGACCCTGAAAAGGATAAGCGGAAGTGAATGGATGGATGGATGGATATTACTGATTATTGTTAACAAATTATTAATTTTTTTTGCCTAATAACTAAAATTCTTATAACTTAACATAGTTAAAGATTTCATCATATACGGTGTAGCAATGATTTTTAAAATCTACAGGAAGAGGGGTTTTTTAGCCATTTTGCGTAGCCCTAGTTACTTGCAATTAGGGCTAGGCAGACATGGAAAAAAAGACAAACAGAATTAAGGTGAGGTTTGTGCACATCATGAACAATGAGCATTGTACACAAAGGAAAATGTTTTCTGTGGTATATCTGGATATAAGAATCTAACAACTTAAAATATGCCTCAAGTAAAATGCTTCAAGGTCACAATATGCTTTCTCTCTCTCTCTCCCTTTATCTCTCACTGACACACACACACACAAACACACACGCACACGCACACAAAAGACCATGCAAAGCAAGTGAAATGATGTAGTCACTGGGCTATCTTTCATATTTTTTGGGGTTTTACCTTATGATCAGTGTGTCCTGTGTCTAACTATTGCTCTGTCATGGTCTCCCGTATCCAGACCTCTCAAGAGTTTCTTGCTCAGCTCATGTCCAAACTTGGGGGTAAAAATCCAGAAGAAACAGGTGGTTTCCAAGAGGCTCCGCTGGCGTATGACGCTGTGTGGGCTCTAGCGCTGGCCCTCAACAAAACCGTTGGGCCCCTTAGGGCCAAGGGTCATCGTCTTGAAGATTTCAACTATAACAACCGAGATATCACTGCTGAGATCTACCGAGCAATGAACACCAGCTCTTTTGAAGGAGTGTCTGTAAGTGCAACACTTACTGGTGCTGGAGTGAGAGAAAAAAGTTGCAAAGAGAAAGACACATGGGTACTGTGTGAAGGGTGCGTGTAGATATAGCATCATCAACATTTTTATGCTTCTTTCAGGGTCATGTTGTATTTGATGCTCAAGGATCTCGAATGGCCTGGACTTTAATTGAACAGCTTCAAGGTATGCTACAGCAAACATGTCTACTTTCAAATAGAACTGATTGTTTGGTCTGTCCATGTCCCAATTGCCAGTCTTGGTAGCCAGGGATTGGTCCACCAGGACCTCCACATTGTACCCGACCCCTACGGTGCCTCCTGCAGGTGGTGGGCCTGCAGGAAGATGGGTCCATGTCCCTTTTTCAGATTGTGACCAGCCAGGCCCCATGGACTAAGGCCCGGCCACCAGACGCTCGCCCTCGGGCACCCTCCCCGGGCCTGGCTCCAGGGCAGGGATCCAGTAACCCTATCCCAGGCAGGGTGAACTGTTCCCTCGATGGTCTTGTCGTAGGGGTCTATTTCATCTAATTCAAAAAAAGACATCAGTGTCACATCTTTGTATTAAGTACACAGTGGCATTCAGGATGTGGATAATATAGTCTGACACCATCTATACCAACAGATTGAAGCAGATTTATTTAAACAAACACAAAATGTCCCCATGAAGCTTGTAACTTATTTGCTTACCTAGATTTGCAGTAGCTCATAGAGTCTTCTTGTCACAGTCAAAATGCTAGATTTGATGCCATGTAGAAAATTGTGGTTTTATTTCCAAAAAGCAGACTTGATTTAACAAAGGTGAGCCTGTTTATTCAGGCTGCTGACAAATTCAATCAAACAAAAAGTCCAAAAAGCAAGGCAAACCTAAATCCACAGGAACATACTGGGACAGATCACAGACATTGTCCCACCAACTTCTTACCATTCAGCTGACTCCTCAGGATTTGCCTGACTCTCTGCAGGTGCTTACTGGTTGCAGCTCTCCTAGTGGCCTCTTCATGGTTCAAATTTGTCTGTGGGATTCTTGTAGCTGTCCTCTAAGTCTGCAATGTTGCCTTCTGGTAGTGTGATCCCCTCGGTTGTAACTACCTATATTCATATATATAAACACCCTGAGGACCAGTCAGTGAAATACATCACAGTGGGGGGAAAGAAGGTACAGGTAAATACATTATGAGATAGTCAAGTGACTGGAAATGAAACCTGACTAGAGAACCAAACACAGACACTGAGAGAAACAAAAACGAAACTTTAATACAAACTGGAATTAAGAACTTAAGACTGGAAAGTCTGAAATGCATAAGGCTGGAAATGTAAATAAACAGCAAACAGAAAAACAAACAGAAGATATTTAATAATAAATGGTAAATGGCCTGTATTTATATAGCGCTTTACTAGTCCCTAAGGACCCCAAAGCGCTTTACATATCCAGTCATCCACCCATTCACACACACATTCA